TTGCGTATATGCATCATTCAAAGATTTACTTTTCTGACATATGGTGACACAAAAACTGGAACGTGTGACATCGTTATCTTTGTAGGAAAACTTTTTAAACTTGTAATTCGAAACAAATCTAAAATTTATTATCTTAATTTCTGGAATTTCTGGAATTTCAGCTCTTTCAGCTCTTTCAGCTGTTTCAGTTTCAGCTTTTTATCGATACCCCAAACAAGGTGCAAGGCTCCAAAACTTTGAATAACAGGCCACAACGTCGCTCAAACAATGAGACGCAAGGCCAACTTTCCACCGCGTTACGGCATCACTCAAACACGAGATGCAAGGCTCTATAATCTTACAAAACTCGCCACGACGTCGCTCGAACATGAGACGCAAGGCCAACTTTACACCGCGCCACGGCATCGCTCAACACGAGATGCAAGGCTCTGAAATCTTACATAACTCGCCACGCCGTCGCTCAAACACGAGACGCAAGGCGAAATTCATAGCCCGCCACTCTACCACTCGCGATGCAAGTGCAAATTCAACACAAACTCAAACTTTTCGCTAGCCACAACGTGTCACAAGGCCCACTGAAGACTCGTAAGGCGAGGAATAAATACAACAGGTTTATCTACCTCCAAAATCGTCTCCGCTGATGAAACCTGCTGTTAATTCTAAATGTGATTCTTGTTGCTCAGCAGCTTGTATGGTGCTCGTTACTCTCCTGGTAGTTGTTGAGCAGGAACTTGCTCTAGAAGTTCTTGTGCCTGCTCGACTCTATGTTTATAGGTACCTGTGCTTCAGCCATGATTACCTCCAGTGTCCGGCTCGAAGTTTGCAAGTGTGATGGGAGTGTGATATGACATCATCCCTTTTATATGAGAGAGACCGCTGACAATAGTCTAACCTTTTCATTGCTCCAAACCTCCACTCATTGTTTTCGGTGCGATTAAGTTATGGGAAAAATAATTTGACCAAAAGTGGTGAGCGGAGTGCGGAGCTGCGAATTAACAAAGTGGTGAGGGCTCTAAAACCGGATACGCCGTCGCCGAAGGGGAGGTGGGTGGGTCGTAAAGGAAAAACTCCCGTGTGATATGATCAGGTCGCGAGTACAAAGTCTCGATTTTGACCGAGTTGACCGTTTTATACTGCTTTAGAGTCCTTGGGAATTCATGATTGGTGCCGAACTACGGATATGCATGGTATGCGCATTAGTTATCGCACCCGATGGAATTTCTCGGAGTATTTGAGCAGTGAAAATAGTGCTAATTAGTTGTATTTAGTAAAGCGCCGTTTACACGAGCAATTTTTTACTTGACAAGTTTCTTGACAAGGAGAAATTGCGTGTAAATTGTCCACAAGTTTTCCGTGACAATGTTTCTTTGCTCGTGTAAACGAAGAACAAGTTTTCCTTGACAATTTTCCTTGTTGTCCATTTACACAAACAAATTTCGTCCTTGACAATTTTTCCTTGTCAAGGAAATGCGAGCATGTTGGCTTTTCCTTGACAAGGAAAAATTGTCAATTTTACTCCTTTTACACGAGCACGGAAAAATTGCATAGGAAAAATTGCTCGTGTAAACGGCGCTTAAATCGTGTATGTGCTACACAAACTTAATTGAAGTGATACAAATGAAGCATTCAATACCGTCTTGCTTCATGTCCACTTGTAGTACAAATTAGTAGTACTTAGTTGTACAGTTGACGGTTCAAGTGTGATCACTCTGATTGATGCATCTGTTCACCTTGATGTTGGATGATATGTAATGTTTAAAGTCCGACAATGAGGACTGGACGGGGCAATTAGTTCCAGTCCGAAGCGTTAGCCGAGAAACTCGGAAAACAGAAATCAGAAACTCAGTCGTGGTGTAATGGTATAAGACGGCGTATAGAGGCGCATGTAGACTGGACGGTCCGGGATCGTGTCCTGAGGCAGTCATGTATGAAAGACCTTTTTCACTAAATAAATTATATACTTAATTTATTATTTCTAATACGTTGATTATTATTAGCTAGTAGTAGTTAGAAAAAGGTAGAATAACTGAAAACAAGGTGAAAGTAACTGGAAATAAGGTAGAATACAACAAGGTGCCATTTTGCATGACCATGCGCGAGCAGCTGTACTGTCGCATTGTTACTTGCAGGCTCACAACAGGCTACCCGCGCTCATTCATTTGTTACACGACGGCGAAAAGTTATCGTGCATTCCTTTATTTCTCTATATTTTTGGTTCCATCGTCATTTGCGGGCCTAATAAAGAAATTGACAATGTAATAAAGTATGCAACAACAACAATACAAAAAAAAACATTAGATATAAATTATCGATCCGCAATAAGTAGTGTTTAAAAAACGAGCAGGAGTGCTTTGTCGGGAGATATATCCCCGATAAAGCATGACTTCGAGTTTTTTTATACTACTTCTAGAACTCCGATCCAACATCCAGAAATTGTTATCATTTTAGAAAAAAGGTAAAAAATGCGAAAACAGTGATTAGTTTAAAAACTATGATTGAAAAGGTCTAATAGACGAAACATGCATCATTGAGAGTCTTGGTCTTTTAGTGTGTCAAAAGGGATGATTTAAAAAACAAAACCAGGTTCACATGTAGCATGAAGTTTACAAAACTCTTTATTGATCAAATTTAAGAAAATTTCTAGTTTAAAAACTTCTACCGAGCATATGCATTTGCCACAATTGAAATAATTTTGATCCCACACGTAAGAACGGCCAGTCTATATGCTATACTGCATGTCTGCACATTGATTCAAACTCATTTAAAACCTAGCAAAGGTCTATGATGCGACATTAAAACTGAGACCATTGCTAGTGTTGGGTTGCGATGCGCTGATGACCTTGAACATCAGTTCGTTATATCTGATATAGAACTGATTAATAAAACATCAGTGCTTTATCGGGATATAAAGGCCCATCATGTGACTAATTTTAAAATACAAACTAGTTGAGGTACCAACAGAAAATATAATTGATACATGGTATTGCTTTCATTGGATTATGGCATATATATGTTAGATTACTATTAATAGACAAACATTTACTGTAGTTAGATTTAAGTTTAGTTTCTTGTTGGGAATAACATCAGCATTCAGGATTCCTGTGTGAACAACTTTGATCGCGGAAACTAGTCAGGATTCCTGGTGAATCAATGATTACGTCAAAAGAAGCCAGTTCACTCCTCAGACAGCCACACAGATTCTGGGCTCGAGATTGGCTTTCTTTGGCAAAAAGTTTCGATGGGTCCCCTCCCAACAACCTCGTTCCCAGGGCTACTCTTCTCGCTTTTTTCAAAATGGCGGACAGAGATAGCCCTGGCATTGGCCGGTCATGTGACACCCACTCTCAGTGGGTGTTTAATGTAGATTACCGCTGAATGCAGGCGCTAAATGATAATGTTCGGAGTAGCATTTAATTTTTTTTAACTTTTCAAAACATTCTGAAAAGCTTATTTCCACACGTTTAATGCAATCTGGAAAATTCCCACCAATTTCATTAGATTCCGATCCGTGTTTGAATGCACGTCCAGAAAAACTTGTTCATCAAAGAAAGAGAAGGAAAAACTTAGTCATTTTTGAGGGTTTGTCAATCCAGTTTAGCAAACTGTGGCCCTAAAAGAAACAGTCTTGACTGCCTTTTCGCTTCTTGCCAAGTGATTGACAACAAGGAGTTAAAGACATGTTAAAGATCAAGAGGAAAAAACAGCGGATTTGTGAACTCTCTTTTTGAATTGTCGAGTAGCAAGTTAACCTATTAAGGATTCGTCGAAGACCAAAGCAGCTGTATAAAAATTCAAGAGATATCGACTCAAATGGCATCGAGATGATTGAAAACAGGAATTTGAAAAATCGCTTAGGCTGCTGAAGACTGTGGCGAATTGTTCGAATTTATAAGGCAACTTAAAGTGCGGGTACGATTAAAACCGAACATCGAATTTGAGCTGTTTTTGTACATATACCTCTTTATGAAGATCCAAATAAGTATTTCTGATATCTTTTTTATCGATACATCATTGAAAAGCAGGAGAAATCGAGCTCTGAAAGTCGTTTTTTTTCCTATCCGCCATTAATCTGAGCCGAAGTGACATCGGTTGGCGGTTTTACCCAAACGTGAAGCATATGACGTCATATGCTTAACCCAGGAACGAGGTTGTCCTTCAGACATACAAAACTTAGGGGAAATGAAGGTTTGAAGCGTATAAAATAATGAAGAAACAAAGTCAGGAGCATCGAATCAAACGTTTTGTTCTGTCTGTGAGACCTTCCGAGTTCAAATGCAATCGTTGAAAAAATTATAGTGATATATTTCGGCCTATAACAAACACACTATCCATCCGCTCTTTGAAGACATATCATGGAGATGGGGAGCACACGGCCAGTTCAATTCCCAGATTTGTAGACATCCTAAAGTTTATCATAAAAGTAAGTTTCTATTTTCTTTGGAGTCTTCATAAGTTAAGACTCCAGTCATGCTACGCGATAAGTTCGAATTTAAACTGTTGATTAAACTGAGTACAAAATTATTATCACCGCGCGTGATGTTATTGAATTCATGAAGTCGTACATAATTTGTTGTTTTAATATTATTAAATGAAAAAGATCAAGTATTTAAAAGTGCTCTCCCGTAACGCGACATACTTTTTGTCCTTTTGGGGCTGAGACGCGAAAGAAAATTGGCAGCTTATACTTGCTTGATCAGGGAGTCAATATGAGTACTGTGATAATTCACTAATTCACCGATCTCAAAACATGGTTTGAATAGCCGTTTATTTTAAATGTTTCAGAGCAGATGCACTACAATGTAAAAACATATATGCCTATCAGTAAAGAGAAGAATTGTAAAATAGTGACAACATGACAGCAAGTTTGAAAAAGATTTTGCAAAAATAGCGGCTGGGCATCTTGCTGAGTCAATTGTACTTTCAAATTGAACGAACGTCGATCAGATGTACAAGGCGATAAAAGTACGCCAAGAACGGATGTATTTTTATTACACTTTACTATATACATATATCATTTACAATAATTTCTAAATGGTGGCTCGTTTGAAATATCGCAAATTTAAAAATATTTTGTAATGCTATGCAAAGTCTTTTTCGCTTTCTTTTTGTCCACAACATGTTCAAACGTCGTTCAAACGTCTCACGAATATTCATGTCTTCACTTCTACTTTCTGTAAATAGTAGACCTAGTACATGGCGATAAACTATTTCATGTTTTTTTCTTTTTGTAGTTTTAGCATCTTGTAGACACTGAACTCAGGCATTTTAGTTTAAAAATTTCCATCAACTTTGTACCTTCAATTTTTCTGTGTCAAAAAGTCACAACAAATGAGCAACCAATGAAAAGTGAGAAGAATCTTAGCCAATCAAAATCCATATTTGACCGGCCGATGCCAGGGCTATCTCTGGGCGCAGAGTAGCCCTGGGAACGAGGTTGCCCTCCCAAAAGACAAAAACAGCTAGTTAATTTCATGTAAAGTGGGTTTCCTGTGGCAAGATTATCAAAAAGGCGGCTAGAACGATCGTATTGCAAGCTACACGGTAAAATAGTCTCTAATTCTTTTCGTTTGTGTTATTCTATTTGAACTGTCGCTTTTTATTATATTTTTGGGAAAAATCTGACTAGTTCCCGGAAACTAGGTGAACTAGTCTAAATCCGCCCCTGAGGAGTACTTCCTCTGGAATCCAGTTACTGCACGTGATACAAATTACAATCAGGGATTGGCTAGATACCTCATGAATAATAAATAATGATTATGAGAAATACATTTACTCAAATAATGAACCATCAATTTCCAGATAAATTCAATTGGACGTCAACACCAACGTCATCGTTAACTATTCTGTATGGACAAAACTTGACTCTCACTTGGAACGTCGACCTGTCTCCTTCCATTACGTTTCAGTCAGCCACTGTATGGCAGACAAAGGGCAACAATAGAAATCCTGTCATCTCCTATTATGTCAACGGTAGTAAGTCCATTTTCGGCCAAACTTTTCAAAACCGAACAGCAGACCTAGCATTAACAGCTATCCAATCAGGATCCATTGTCAGTATCAGATTTGAGTATGCCTACCTCATTAAGAGCACTGATGAAGGTGCGTATGACGCATCCGTGACCGCAGCATCAGAAATCACTGATGTTTCTCCCAACAAGACAAATGTAACAATTAACGGTAAGGCTCTCAGTTATATCGATTTATGTTTAAGGAATAGTTCATAGGTAGGTATTTGAGTGCTTAAGCAACCTCCCAGCTGCATACACAACTTGATTGATGCACAAATACCTATGAAGCATTTCTTTTTTAATATAGTTTCAAAAATAGACCACAAATTGATCTGAGAGACAGCGAAAGAAATCATTGCAAAGCTCCGAGCGTTATGCTTTGCCGCGAAAAGAAAGCTTTTTTGAAGAAATAAAGAAATAAATGCGGCTCATTCACCAATTGAGCACTTATAATCCCCATGGGTTGAATGAACGCTTTGTTTTCAGGTTGTTTATCTTTTGTTCCCTTTTTAGCACCTTTATTGTTCTTTTGTCTTACACTTCCTTTGCTTTTTTGTTTATTTCACGTTACCATGCCTACTTTGCTCCTATTGGTCTATTTTCCTTCCCACTCTTACTATATAAACTCACCCTTTACCTAGTTTCATCACTTTTACTCCGACGAAGGATTAACGTCCGAAACGTCAGTAAGTTATTTCACATACTTTTTTTACGTTGTTAAATTTATCCTTTTACACAACTTTTTTGAATCGGCCAATATACCTGTTTCACCTGTTACGTGAATACAGTAGGCCTGGACGTTTAACTTTTATTTTTTTTGATAGAATTGTAAACGTTTTTTATTCTTTTTAGATAGAGAGATCTGGATGACATACCCACCAAGCTTGACAAGGATACAAGGACAAAGTATGACGTTAATATGGAAGGGTAACTTTCCATATCAAAAGTTTCTATTTGCTAAAGTCTGGATATCAAAGAATGGTAATAAGGAGGATGTCGCTTTTTATAAAGCTGAAAATGGCACAGCTGAGGCTAGAGGGTCCTACATTAACCGATCAGCACACATTAGTCTCACCGTTTCTCAAATACGATCTGTTGTAATTGTGACATTTGTTTTGGAAAATCTTTTAAAGAACACAGACGAGGGTGCGTTTGATTTAACTCTAACGCTTAGTGATAACACTATCACAGCTCCAAAAACACCACTTATGATCAATGGTAAGTCCAAAAAGAATTAAAATACTTTTCCAACGAATTCCCGACGAAAGTAGATTTTATTTTTGATTTTGATTTTTACATTTTACGGAAACATCTTTAGACCCTATACATTTTCTCTTATTGTTGTCGCGCGAGTGATCAATTTTTTTCTAAGTGGCACTACGCCAACGGCGCATGGCCGTTCAGTCAGTTTCTGGCGATGATTTGTTTTACTGACGATCTCTAAACAATTTTTTTTTCTTTCTTTTTATCTCTCTTTCCCCCTTTCTTTCTCCCTTTAACTTTTAAATATACACGTTTTTTTTCTTCTAAAATGCAAAGCGAACTTTCATCTTACAAATTCTCTGAGGATAATACGAATGCAATCTGAATGCTAAATTTTCGCTGTAATGATAAAATACTTAAAAAGTGATGTGAAAGGATTATAATTTTGGCGTTCGGCACTAGAAAGGGCCATATAATCGGTAGAATGGAATTTCATCTCGTAGTCCACTAGGCCAAATAATTATTTAAACTCCATCAAAGTATATAACAAATTTGTCAAAAGAACAATATTTTTTCAACTATTTTGTGCAGTTCAGTTACCGAATTATTCAGTTACCGAATTATTCATAACGAACTATTAATGAAAGTTTGAGGTTCATATTCAGATTTAGTATAAATTTGTTCTATTTAAGTACGATTTTGTAGAATTTAACTCTTTATAAATGTTATTCATATTCATTTTTTTATTACAACAATTAATTGCACATATTTGAGAATTTTCAGGACATATATATCAAAATAAAGAAATAAATTTAAATGTAAACTCTTTAAATGTTAATTCTCTCTCACGAGAGAAAGTGTTTTAAACGGCTTCAAAAACTCCAACACTACTGAATTTGAAACTCACATGCGTTAAAATTCCTGAATAATTGCCGAAAAATAAGTTTTGAGATAAATGGGGCCAGGGGTGGATCCAGCCGTTTGTAAGAGGAGGTGCTTTTGTCAGTAATAATATACAGCTATTTCAAAAAACGTTGTCGGGAAGAACGGCAAACGGCGATTGTTGAAGTGAGATTGCTCCACGGAAAGGGACTATGGTTACACTGTTTTGATAAACAGAATTTCACTTATTGGATCCACCTTACATAGAAATAGAGACTAAATGGGTCCAATGTTTTGAATATTGTAAATTTGACCAACTTTTAGCTCAAGTTTACTCAAAACTTTTACCGTCGCCCAAGTCTAGGAACTAAACGATTCTAATGTTTTACCTTTTATATTATTAGATATTAAGTGGTTTTTCTATTTAAAAATGTACTGAATGAAAGTCAGCAGTGTTTACAGCATGCTCCTCTCATGGCCACCTTCTTGTCAAGTTTTCTGGTTGTTTTTGTCGGTTGAAAACCAGCTTGGTGTTTGGTTTATACTTAAAACAACACTTGATAAAGGTAACTAGAAATATTATAGTTAGTGTACTTTGATACATTTTGAATTGAGTGAATCTATAATTGAAAAATCTTTCTTGAAACTCTTGGCGAATTTCAAAGCAGTTTCAGTCACTTGTTTCGCAGGTATTTTCAAAAAAATCAAAATAACTCTAGATTTTTATCGTCGCCCAGAATTGTGACCACATTAATTCGAAAGCCTAGATTGTATAGAATAGTTTGTATAATTTTTGTTTTAAAATAAAATGTACACGATAATTTGTGAGATGCTAAAGTTGTGCTTTTGACGCGACTGAGCTGCTCCTTAATAGTACAAGCTAGTACATACAACAATTTATTTCATTACGTATTACGCTATCAGAAACGTACACAAGGTAATCTGTTTTTGGTTTCTTGAAAACTTATTAATGTATATTTGTAGCGGAGCTCCCGCGCGGGCCTAAGGCCCGCGCGAGCGGAGCACCATACCTAAGAAAAAATGGTATACCATCGAGTCCATTTTTCATGGACCGACACAGGGATCCCGCGCGTACGTACGTTTCCGTCCGTCCTGGATTCCGTGTACCACCACAGGAAACCCATACTCCGCTCGAAAAGGAAACAAAGCGCCAAATATTTGTTGAAAAATCGAAWTTTTTTCCTTAAACATTTATATTACATATTGATAATATTAGAACAATTAATCACAAGGAAAAAATCCACAGAAGAGCGAAATAACAGCACAGAAATATTCCCGCCAATTTTGTCATAACTTCGACGCGTCCGCTCATCCGGGAAATCGATTTGCGAAGATGAAAAGCAATTTAGGCCCATCTTAAAAGTGATATTAGAAAAAAGGATTTTACTTTGATATTTCGACAACAAGAAAGAGATGATACTTTATTGGAAATACTTCAATAATATGGACCAATATGGGAAAAAGCAGGGRTCTATGCGAAGTTCTTTTGTCGACTAAAAGTGTGGACATTTGGAAACCAAGACCATGCTAGCASTTAGAATGAGAGAGATTAAAAACAAAGTATTTACAGTCTTGAATGACTTCATGAACTGATGAAACCTATGCTTGAAACAAGTATGATTCTGTTGAGGATGACCTTTGAACGATAATTTATCGGAAGTTCGATAATGAAGGTAAAAAATATATTTTTGTATACAGTTTTCTGTGATATGTGAAGTTCGAGTAGTCCGGGTTCAAACATCGATTATTGAAACAATGTTGATTATTGTAAGCTTATGTAGACTACTTTTTAAATCAATTGACCTTTACAGACTATAATATTAAACTTTATCCAACGGAACAAAATCTACCGAAGTCAATATTAGTACAAACTAAATTCTCATAAACATACTCTTTATAATATTTGTTCGCATGTCAACAAAACTGTTGTAACTCACATTCCTTAGAACAAAGCATCTGAGGATACCTATTTTCCGAGTCAGGATTCGAGTTAGGATTCGAGTTAGGATTCGAGTTTTAGGATTCGAGTTAGGATTCGAGTTTTAGGATTTGTGGAATGCAGTCTCCGGAGTCTCATTATGAGTAGTACCCACGCTGTCTTCTTTCTGCTTGTTGCCAAAATGGCGGAAGACACGAGGTTAATAATGACTTATTCATATCCTTGTTATCCATCCTGCTAAAACTACCATCTTGGTCTTATCTGTTATGACCGATCGCATCATCTGTATTATTATTTAGGATTATTTTGTTTTTAATCTAATGGCAACAAATGTAAAAATATTTTTCTAAAGAAACGTATGGGAAAATAGTACTGGAGAGCAAGCCTCTAGAAAAAAAATGTTATATTTGCTATCAATTTTGAAGTGTTTAGTGTTGAGACTTGATACTTTGTCTTCTTAACTATTTTGATCCCCTCTTTCCATTTCTGGACATTATTTTTTGATAGCTGATTGATTTAAGGTAGGTGTGGTCACGTGACCCCCAGCTGCAAAGGGCCTATTACAGTAATTAGTCTGATTTATACAATTACAATGTCATTTCTTTTAAATATATATTTTTTCTTTTTATACTTTTTTTATAATAAAGTGTTCTTCTTTCCGAAAGAAATGCACGTCTGGTACGTATTTATGTTCTTCTATGAGAGACCAGATGATATCTGTTGATGTTTTAATTAGAAACAAGCATTGCTGGTTCCGGCAGTCTTACATTTTGATAGTTTTTAGGATAGTTTAATTATGATTTTTATGATAGTTATTTTGATTTCAAAATTATTAAACTTTGTGTGCTTTTAATGAATAAAAAAATTAAATACTTGTTAAATTATTATTACTTATTGAATGATTACTTATTAAATCGAATCCCAAAACTCGAATCCCAAAACTCGAATCCCAAAACTCGAATCCTAACTCGAATCCTAACTCGAATCCTAACTCGAATCCTAACTCTGCTGCTAGTTTGTCTCAAAGCATCTACCTTTGAAATAGCAGTACTAGATAATCATTTTCAGCTTCTATATTGGTATTGGAGCTCCGCTATTAGGTGGTACCTAATTTTTATATTACGTGGGTTAAAAATGACGTCCCAAAGATTCAAATATTTACTTACAATAATTATTTTGTATTTTCAAATTCATATTAATAGTTTACTTTTTGGAAATATACTCTCATAACTCGGTACTCTTGGCTGAAAAAAGTTTGAGTAACCCAGTTTGGCATTACTCCAGCAAAGCTTTTTCTGAGATCTTGTATAATGTAGATGTAGAAGTTATAGTCACGAAATATTTTAAAGTTATAGTGTTACACATTCTTTGATATCAATTCTCTCACTATCATACATTATGTTAGCATTTTGTATTAGAATTTTGTATTAGAATAATTCTAATATTCTTGAAACATTTAACAACAATGGTGCACATTGATTTTGACTTTGATAGTTCTTCATTATAAATGGTCATTTAGTTTGAATGAATTGCAGTATAGTCTTTAAAACAAGCAGCCATTGGTGTTGAATTGCATCGTGAAAAAGTGAACCAAATGTATAAGAATGTTTAGAGGCTAAAGTATTCATCATATTGTTAACTGTTCTTCGTGAGCATGTGTTCCCCAGTAGATGTTGGGTATCAATGCTTTCCTGATTGATGTTATATTTGCATGCTTGATTTTATTTTTTCACTTTTTATTTCCCACTTTGCAGCTCAAAAATAACAATACATCAAAACTTACTATGTGAAAGAATTTTGATTGTTTTCTCCGTTTTTTCAAGATCTTTTCTGGTCATTAAAACCATTTCTTCATCATTTTCGTGCTGTCGTTTCTTTAACAAAGTTGCAGCTTTATTAATTGGCCGACCTCTGTTGTTTATATTCGAATCCACGTAATAATAATAATAATAATAATAATAATAATAATATGTGGTATTTATATAGCGCCGATATCCTCTGAGTTCAAAGGCGCTTCACATGTATAGATCATTTCACACGGACCGCTGTTTAAGGCGCAATTGGCAGCCACGCGGCTTACAATCATGAGGGGTTAGTAATTAGTATGGGTTAGTAGTAAGGCCTAGCCAAACACACCGGGAATCATTCCCTACTCTTATGCGAACAGTGGTGTGGGTTCTTTAACGTCCCTCTAATACAGGTTAGTGAGTGAAGTGTAGAGAGACGGGACCTCCGATTTTACGTCGTTATCCGAGAGGGCGAGAAGATCTTACCATTTGCAGATGGAGAAAGACAAAGGCAGCAACTTCTCCTCAATTATTTTAAGACCCTGAGTGTTGGTCCGGCCGGGGTTTGAACCGCACTAAAGTCCGATGCTCTACCTACTGATCTAACCGGTCGGCGGTTCACGTACTTGATTGAAAAGGAAAATAACACGGATTGTTATAATATTTCGCTGTTTTAATGGTTCTAATTTTACAAAAACTTATACACCTACTAACATGATAGAAGGTTTTTCCTGTTTGCCTGTAAATGAAATGACGATAGCTCGATCTTCTGCAAAAATCGCAAATATCTCGGCCATGCAAGTTTGATGTATTAGTCTATCGATGCTATCAAGACCAAAACATCTTGGCAAATCGTTCATGTAAGACTTCACAGTCTAAAAAAGACTTCGCTGGGTTTTTTTTTTCAACGAATAACACAACCATTTCTCGACATTTTTACACCATGAGACGTATAAAACAGTCAGCAAAACGACTAGCAAGAAATATAATACGAACAAACATGGGATTTAAAAAGTGGCAGGAGGGGACGCTCTCGCGTCAGACGGGCTCAGCGGTCAGCTGTCGCGGCCATTAATCTATAATTTTTTCGCGCGTGYGCAGACAAATTGCCTACATGCTAGCTGGGTAATGACTAGAGCAAGAAAAATATGCACAATTTGACCGAAAGGAAATTGACTTTGATATTGCAGCGGTATCTTTGACTACACTACTCAAATAGATTGATAAGCTGCTTAGTGGCAGACACATGTTGTGTATGCTACTAGCGTTTTCTTGATAAAAGTACAACGCGAGTATGAACAGTACAAAAAGTTTTATACTGATATATAAAAGGATTATGTCGCTCGAAAAGAGGGGTGCGTCCGCACCCAAAGCACCTCCCCTGGATCCGCCACTGGAGGCAAAGTGATCATGCACGAATCACTATACAATGTACTTATGTCATCCCACATTGAATACGCATAAAGTGAAATAGAACTGATGATGCTGTCTTACTGCACTTAGTTAATAATTTTGGTTGTTGCAGTTATCAAAAAAGTGGTGAAGAGCACATTCAAGTGTAACAGCTGTACATACGAGTCAGGGTTAGGTGATCACAGGTCTATAGTCTTCAATACTCTAAAAGAAAAGATAGAGAAAATGGTAAGAACTATAGATTATCGGGACATCTGATGGTGTCGATATTATTGGGGAGATGGACACTTCTGGTTATGTACTTCTAACATTAGTTCATTAGCTCATTTAGTTGCTGCGTCTTCCTATTTAGGAACTTGTATATCTTTTAAATATAAGTCACTTGGAACCGGTAATTCCAAAGCAGTTGTAAAAGATTTAAGTGGACAAGCTCAGCACTTTCAAAAAAAACGTTTACCATTATCCTTAGTTAATTATGGGGAAATGTCTTTTTAATTGTTTGTTTCAGCTCAGATTAGTATATGCAGTCCATAAGTACGTCAAGTCTGTAGATGTATCGGCATTTTGGTAAGTAGAACAGGTCTACTTAAATACATGTATAGCTAGTTTACCAAGATTATTATCTTTTTAAGATCTTTTAGTTTGTCAGTTTTACCATCTTATCTGATTTCAATAGGCCAGGAAGCGTAATTGTGGAGTTTAAGCTCACACTGATCGCTAATGTCTCTGACCCATTGTCACCATTTAAAGCAGCCGTATGCAAACAAGGAGGGAGTCTTGAAGGAATCAATATAGATCTTAACAGCATACAAGAAGGTATGTTGCTTGATAATCCAATATTAGCAGAAATATTGCCCATTTTGCGCCCGCGATGATTTTGCAGCGGTAGCTACCATTGCAAAAACAAAATGGCTAGAGAGCTATTCTTCTCAGCTGTTAGATCTACTTTTCTCTCCACTCTTCCACTTCATCGACTTTTCACTTCTTGCTTTCTCCAGACTAGCTTGCACAGATTCCTGCGATTAGGTTTCTTTACTTATATACGAGACCGATGAACATTTCTCAATAAACTTTTTCCATTCCCAGGGAGCTGACCAAGATATCTCAATATAAAATAGAAACTCGTATCTTTTGGATTGATTTTCAGAATTTTGGCAGATATAAGTCAAAGGAAAGTCAGAATGTGTCTTCCAATCAAATATTTTCTTACGGTATTCATTGAGAAATTCAGACATTTTACTCTATTTTTGCAAACAAAATTCAACTTTTGGCGCTAAAATATACTGTGCTTTTTTATTCTGAAAAGACCTGGGGACAATAAAAGCATTCCCACAGGGCATTGGGGACCTCAAAGAAGGAAAAAAATGGCGCCTCGAGTAGAAGTATATATAAATTTGGTATTTTTTCCTCTTGGACATACCCAACACAAGATATGGCTCTCAAACTTCGTGAATCCGTATAACTGCAATCTATTCATGCTTCGGGAGGTACAACTATAGAATACCCCGCTGAGTGAAATGTTAAAGTAGTTGACCTACGAGTCTACGACTGCTGAGTTATTCAGAGAGAGGGCCTAAACGCCTACGCGATCGAATTCGAAACCATTGCAAACAGGACACAAGACTTCGGATGCAAGCAAACCGATATCTTTGAGCCATTTTATCATTACCTCTTTGTCATATAATACATTTTGAATCAATTCATCGTACGTCAGTGGAGATCCCGTTTCTCCCAAGTACCTTAGGGTTAGGTTTAGGGTTAGTATTCGCAAAGGCTGAATGTGCTTGAAAACTCGCGCATGCTCATAGGTTAGTAGGTTTTGCAGATGCGTAAGCTATGCAGACCGCATGTTTTCGTACGCAGGCTGTGTAGGCCTGTAGGCTGCGTAGGCCTGTAGGCTGCGTAGGCCTGTAGGCCGCTTAGTCTAAATTCAATAATTTCAATTTAGGGTGCAAATGAAGACATTGTTGTTGTTTGATGTTGTTGTAGGTTGAGTACAGGTCGCGTAGGCAAAGTAGGCCACGTAGGCTTGTTGGCCCACAGTTTCTTTCTCGTTTGTATGGATTGGCGGGGTATTCTATAGTTATTCCCTTCGGGAACCTATTTAAAGGGATTTTTTGGAAGTTTTTGGGCAGAATTGACGAGTGTTGACATTAATTTGGACGTATCGATATGCGACCCGAGTGTTTATCAACTATTTGAACTCTTTTTTTCGACTTCAAACCACAAAGGTAAGCAGCATTTGTAGAGAATGTATGCAAATTTGGTCGCTAAAAACGCTCAGGAACCTCGAGATTAAACGCATTTACTTTCATTTATTATGTAAAGGACATGCGATATATCCACGAAGAGTGATCGAAGTGCGATTTGAGAAAACCTTTTTTCTCTTAAAGTGATATTTTGGCGAAAATGTATTATCTCCCATACATTTCTTTAGGAAATTTATTCGCCATTATTGTACTTATTACGCATGCGCGACGCCATTTTGGGCGATATTTCTGCTAATGACGTAATCGTCACGTTAGCTTATGGATAAGAAGAGATCAGAAGTGGGAAGACAAATATGTCGACAATGCGAAGGTAGCTTTGAATTGCCGTCACGGTTAGAGATAGTTCACATCCATAGGGGCAGGGCTCAGAGCTAACGAATTAAAATTGAGAAGTTTTAACGTCTAAAGAATGCAGTCCAATGTGATTTTGCCTGTAGGTTTGAGTGACTTGAGTCTTTTCCAATGATGCTGCACAGCGCTACTTTACATGTTTTTGTCATGGAGCTCATTATAAGTTGGTCTTAATTTTGGATCCCGGGAACAATTTTTAGAGACATTATTCCTATAGTACTGATATTCCCCGAAGCGGACGTCAAAGAGTTTATCAGTGTACAATGTGTTAGTTTTAACTTCTGATTAAATGTTTCCACAGGGACCTATATCTTACCTACGACTACTATTTCGACAACTGTAGAAACAGCAATAGAAACAACAGCAAGTACAGGTTTGAACATTTTTTGATTCATGCTTATCTTTATTTGACCACAGAAGCTTTATTTATTGACGTTATTTTCTGCATCAGAAAGTTGTCAGGGCCGTCAGGGCTGTCAGGGCTGTCAGGGCTGCCAGGGCAGTCAGGTGTCTGTTATAGTCCTTGGTGTGCTATTTGGTGTGTCACTGATTTTCAATGTCATCTTCGTTGGTTATTTTATTTGGAGGCATTTGACAGGTAAAACACATAATTTGATGAAATAAACGCTTTTGAGTGACTCATTAACTTAATGGCGGAAAGAAGAAATATCACTGATTCTGATGCTTTTTACTTCAACAGAGAATAGCAGACACGCAAAGAAAAGGTAGTATATTTAATGATTCTAAATCTGCCAATTAAGGGCTGTTGACGTGATTATATCCTAGTTAGTAGGGCTTTAATTTTATTTTTCATGAGAGTTTTAAAACACCAAAAAGGTACACTAATTCCATGTGTTACTGAGTGCGTTATACATCACATATATTTTTTCTGGTTTGGTTTAGTGAGAACATTAACGAAGTTGGATACATGGTAAGAGCCTTGCTTATT